ATTGCGTGTTTATTGCCATGGCGTCTTGCCAGCCATCATATCCAGCGACCATGGTTTCTGAGAGCTGTTGGATGGACTCGGCTTTGTAGATGTCGGCGCCGTTTTTGGGGCCGATGACGCCCGCGTTGTTTATTAGGACGTCGACGTAGCCGATTTCTTTTTTTATGGTATCTGCGGCGGCGCGTACGGAGGAGAGATCGGTGACATCGCAGGGGAGGGCGTGGAGGGTGCCGGTGCTGTTGGAGTCGCGCGGTACGTTGGCTTGGAGGTCGTTGACGGCTTTTTCGAGGACTTCGCGGCGGCGGCCGAGGAGGTAGATTCGCTCAGCGCCATTTTGGTAGAGTGCTGATGCTATGGCGAGACCGAGACCTGTGATTGTGTAAGCCTCTGGCTACGGATACTTTGAGCTCGAGCATGTCGAGGCGTGAGGGCGCGGGGCTTGGTGGGGTAGCTCGAAGCTTGAGTAACGTACCACTGCCGCCGCCTGTGATGACCACCACTAGCCCTTTCGCCGAGAAGATGTCGTTTGGTCTGATTGGTGTTGAGACGTCCATGGTGATGAAGGTTGGAGAGAATACGGAAGATGCCAGAAAAGTGACTTGACTTTCACAGAGGAAAAGACGGACTTTGCTACTCCGACATAGAGCACAATGATTGCGTCACAGACGGAAATAAGCCGCTTGCAAAAAGATCCCGCGGCATGCTGCGCGTTGACTTCCGATTACGATGGGTATCATACGAACCTGCAGACCTGGTGAACGCCATTCCCTTTGTGCTTTTCATATGCCAACTAGCTGATACCCCCAATAATCTTCAGCCCCAAATTGTCCGCGGAGTATGCGAGGATATACCGGCACGGATGCCAGGCAACGTGGGACGCTGGAGTCGGCACATCGACCGTGTGTACAATCTCTCCGGTGTGAACATGCGCGATGCGAATCTTCTTCTCTTCCTTGTCGTCGGAGCCCGCAGTGACATAGCTGCCGTCGAAGGAGAAGTCGACTGACTTGATGATGCCGCCGGTCAATTCCAATGTCCGTGTGCATATCCATTCTTGTGTGTCCCAGAGTGAGATGAGCGCATCGCCTCCGCCAGCTGCCAGGTATTCGCCGCTGGGCGATAGTGATACAGCGTAGCATGCAGAGGTATGAGCATTTAAAGTCATGGCGTTTTCGAAAGACGGGTAACGTAGGCTTCTGACGCTGCCGTCGCCGGCTGTTGTGTAGAGGTGATTGCCGGACCAGTCGAAGACGCATTGGTTTGTTTGGAGGACTTGTTGGTGTTCGGAGAGGATGCTTAGGGTCGATCGGTCGATGGTGACAAGGAGATTATCCTAGGGAATGTCAGCATGTATGTTTTGCATGGCTATGGAGGGGGTCTAACCTTTCTACCTGCAACCAACTCGTTCCCATCTGGCGTCCACGCCAACGTGAATGGGCACTCGCCGACCTTGACTTCGCCCACACTAGCCTTGGACCGTATATCCCAGAACCTGACCATGCCATCGGACGTGGAGCTTGCGAGCTCGTTCTCGTTGATTGGGTGGAAGGAAACGCGTTCGAGGGCTGCTGTCGTGTTGGGCGTGCGCAATTCAGTCGAGTTCTTAGCATTCGTCTTCTCAGGGTTCCAGATGCGCAGTGTCCTATCTGCGGCACCTGTCGCGATGAATGTGCCAGAGGCGTTCCATGATAGCGTGCGGATGTAGTGCGAGGATGATACGGCGTTCGGGCGTGGGCTGTCTTGGTACACGGATGTCTTGAGCTTTCGGAAGTGTTCGTGGAAGGAGTCTGATTTGATTGAGCGCGCGCGTATCGGAGGTGCCATTGCTGAGGTATAGAGATCCACGCGACTGGTGAGGGGCTGTGGGTAATGCGACGGCGAAGTTTGTGGTTTGTTGAAGCTCGATTGCGAGAAGCTCAAGCTCGAGGCTCACACGGACCACCGAAGCTCAGGGTCGGCCCTTCACCTCCACGATACCGCAGGCAATGACGTACGAACACATGTTTGGTAGTCATGTTGCAGAGAAGTCATATGATATGCATGTCAATGTAGCAGCGTTGGTGCCTCGTTTCTCATTAATTATTCCATTCCAACAACTGCAGTAGCCGTCTAATCCTTCTTGCTCTCAGCGCCCTCCTTCTGCATGCCCTCGCAGCCAACTAGGTTTCCTGCCTTCTCCTCGATACCACCCATTCCTTGTTGGCTGGGGTCGCGGTTCGCTGATGCTGCCTTCATGGCGTCTACGGCCTGCTCCTTGTCTTGCGCACCCGATGCTTTCCATGGCTCACTGCCGGTGACGTTTCCAATGGTCTCCTGGGAAGAAGTTAGTGCCTTGCTCTGTATATGAAAGGGTTGGAAAGGCGAGTCGTCACGTACCTCAGCGGCGCCCTTGACGTATTGGGCGTGAGAAGAGACGAGACCGGGGTTGTTTGGTGCGGCGGACATGTTGATGTGTGTGGTGGATTCGTAAGAAGAAGGATTCAGAGGTACGTAGGGAATAGTTTGAAGAGTTGTAAATGTAGATGGTTGGTTGTCTTGCACGACTTGCGCTGGAAGTTTGGCCACTATATCGAGTGACGGTTACATTGACGTCATCGAGCACATCACATGGAGACGCGCTTGAGTTCGCGCGTAGGCATGAGCACCGGACCCTTCTTCTGCGGCAGCTCTAGTTTCAGTCGCGTCCAGATTTGAGAGTCTCTCCACTCGAAAGGATAGCCATTAACCATATGACGTTGATGTAATCTATGGGCGCTGAGGCCGCGTTCCCTAGTACGTGTGTGCTGGTTGGAGGCTCCGCGGTGTCATACAAAGTGGCGGATACAATGCCTGAGGCATCAAGATCATGAACGGTTTCGACGAAGCTTAGTTCTTCGAAGGCTTGAACCTCGCAAGCCTTTGCAGCTTGAGCACCTTCTGATTCAGGCAAGTGCAGATGTACCTCGGCAACTATCTCCACGCCAAAAGATACTTACAAATCAACGGCATTGCGTGCTCTAGTGTAGGCGACTTGGACATTTCTTCTAGCACCTTTTCCCGACTGATTTATAATTTTCCATATTCTTTCATACAAGAATAGTCGACCCAAATCCTTAGAATCGACATCGCAACATGGCACCCCAAGACTACAACCAAGGCGTCCCTGGCCTCCCATACTTCACCCCCCAACATTTGACCTCCCCAGGAACGCCCGCCCCAAACACCAAACAAAATGGCACAACACCAACCCTCTTCACGCCCCTCACCATCCGCGGCACAACCCTCCGCAACCGCATTCTCGTAGCGCCCATGTGCCAATACAGCACCGCATCTTCAGGCCCCACCATCGGCGCCTTGACAGACTACCACATCGCAACGCTCGGCCACTACGCCCTCAAAGGCGCAGGTCTAGTTTTCATAGAAGCCACCGGCGTCCAAGCCAACGGACGAATCTCGCCAAACTGCCCCGGCATATGGAGTGATTCCCAGATCCCTGCGCTGCGGCGGGTCTCAGACTTCATCAAGAGCCAGGGAGCGCAGAGTGGTCTCCAACTCGCACACGCAGGAAGGAAGGCAAGTACATGCGCGCCCTGGATCGCCGGCGAGCAAAAGACACAAGGCGGAAAGCGTAAAGTCAGCGTCAAAGCCGACGTAGACGCCGATGGCTGGCCAACAAACGTCGTCGGTCCCATGGGCGGCCAAGAATGGGCATGGGACGAGAAAGCCGCAGATGACGAGAGCAGCGGATACTGGGCCCCTCGCGCTCTCAGCGAAAAGGAGATCAAAGAGCTCGTACAAGACTGGGCCGACGCAGCGCAAAGAGCAGTAAAAGCCGGTATCGACGTGATCGAAATCCACGGCGCGCACGGCTACCTGATCCACCAATTCCTCTCCCCCGTTACAAACCAACGTATAGATGCCTACGGCGGGTCCTTCGAGAACCGGACTCGCCTCCTTGTTGAAATCACCAAGGCCATTCGCGCTGTCATCCCAGACACCATGCCCCTGTACCTCCGCATCAGCTCCACAGACTGGATGGAAGAAACCGATCTCGGAAAGCAACGCGGGACCTGGGACGTTGAAAGTTCAATTCGCCTCGCAAAACTTCTCCCCGGTCTAGGCATCGACCTCCTCGACGTAAGCAGTGGAGGAAACCACCCCGACCAACGTATCAACATGTTCGACTCCAAAGACTACCAGATCAAAATCGCCGCCCAGATCCGGAGTGCACTCAAGAAAGAGAATCTCAGTCTCTTCATCGGAGCAGTAGGTCTGATTACTGAGGCGGAGCAAGCGAGGGATATCGTTGAAGAGGGGGGTGCGGCGTCGACGATTTCTAGGATTGGGGATGAGGAGGTGGCGAAGGAGGCGAAGGCTGCGGTTAAGGTTACGGAGGGGAAGGAGCCGTTGGCGGATGTGGTGCTTGTTGCGAGACAGTTTATGAGGGAGCCGGAGTGGGTGCTTAGGGTGGCGTGGCAGTTGGGGTTGGATGTTGCGTGGCCGAATCAGTTTTTGAGGGTTAGGTTTCCGAAGTTGTAGATCATCGTTTGGGAATGCATGGATACTCTTGTACCGCAACAGGTCAATCTCAAGTATTGGTCTATGGTTGACCAGACTGTCATGAACATGGCTGCTCATGTCACTATCGCAGTGTTCCGTTTAGGAGGTCGATAGAATCGTTCTCCGGATGTAAGCGCTGGCACGGAGTGATGCCGTCATGTGTAACCTTGAGATAACCTTGAGATGCATAGCCGCCAGCAGGGGGGTCATAATTCGTGGGACTCTGATGTAGCGAATCGCAACGAAATCGCGCTGTGCTGGTAGTGCCAATAGTCTCAAGAAGGATTGCCACCCTTGTACTACTACAAGTTTGGAAGTGAGGGGTTGCAATTGACGTTCAATCAAGCTTGATCACCTGCATATGTCGGAACTATATCAGGAACACCATCCTCTCTGGTAGACATCTATATACTGTCGCCAGTATGAGCAGTCCTCAAAATACGATTTCTCCTCCTGCCACAATGGACTGGTCCTATTTCCCACAAGAAGACATAGCTGCGAGGCTACCCACCGCGTCGCAGACCAAGCTTTGCGAGCCTTGCAAGGCTCTTCTCCGAAGCGATAGAACAGCCTACGTTGATGAAGACGAGTGGGAAAACCAGGGTTCACGGCAAAAGTACGTCCACCACAACGACGCGCGCTCTTTCCGGAGGGCACTTGAGCTTCGCTGTGACATCTGCGTTCGGCTTTACAAAGCGTTGAAACGGCCCTATGGTATGACCATATCTTTTGACATAGTCTTTGCTAGAGCTAATCTGCTCTTAATACTGACAGGTCAGCCCTATCTTTATGAAATAGAGCCGACAACCTACGAGTTAGACACTCATCTCGAAGATCTTACAATGGTCAGCTTTGAAAGTGGAATTCATACTACTTCTGCTAGTCTGGAGGCATACGAATGTGAGTAGAGCATTTCTACGTCTATCCCATGTTATCACCGGGTGCTAACTCGTGCTATAGCAAGACCTGATCTACACTTTCCACACGTTACCCGTAATACAGGCGAAGACGAAGCGATCTCGTGGCTCGTAGAACAACATCGCAGATGCCGAGAGGTGCACGCTAAATGCCAACATCTGGCTCCTTACAACGACTTCATGCCAACACGAGTGCTATACGTCGGTTCTACCGAAGACCAAGCTGTGCGACTTTGTGAAGGAGCCAATACCGAAGTTGGGGCAGGCTACACTGTGCTTTCGCATTGCTGGGGCGCGCCACAACAGCGGACCGTGTTGACAAAGTCCACTGTGAGTATGTTTGAAGAGGAAATTCCATGGTCCCTGTTATCCAAGACATTTCAGGACGCAATTACCGTCACACGCAAGTTCCAGATCCACTACATCTGGATCGATTCTTTGTAATACCCCTGTCCTCAAGATCATAGCTGTCGTTGCTAACTTCATGAAGATGTATCTTCCAAGATGATCTTAGCGACTGGGCTTCAGAAGCAGCCCGTATGCGCGACGTCTACAGCAAAGCCGAATTCTGCATTGCAGCGACTGCTTCCCCTTCCGGAGACTATGGCCTTTTCTTTGAACGTGATGTCCAGGAACTCACGCCAGTCACGGTTGCAGCTACGTGGCCAGATACGCAGGACTCATCTAAATGGCCTACACCGGGTCAATATCTACTCGGATTCCATGCAATCATGCCAGACGATATCATTGATCACTCACCCCTGAACAAAAGGGCATGGGTGGCTCAAGAGCGTTTCCTTTCACCGCGAACCTTGCATTTTACGCACGCCTTGCTTTTCTGGGAGTGCTGTACGGCTTTCATAAGTGAAAGTTCTACCAAGACCAATATTAGTCCTGGCTTCATTAGACCATGGTTCGATCCCAATACGCTCAAAAGGCTGCTATATGACGTTCGATCGTCAGTACCTGCTGTCAAGATCGAGATGGAGCGAATGTTTACGACCAGCAGCAATGACAGTATTCCTACGTCAGACAAGATCTATCGATTGTGGGGTCAATTCCTTCAGAGATACTCCGGGTACGAGTTGACTAAGGAGTCGGATGTTCTAGTAGCATTGACTGGCATAGCGGAAGAAGTCGGACAGGTTCTGAATGACCGATTGGTTGCTGGTTTGTGGGAATCACGTTTCGTCGAGGACATGTGCTGGGAACCGAACCAACGGAATCGGAGTTCTATGGAATGGCGCGCACCTACTTGGAGTTGGGCTAGCACGATAGGTGGTGTATATCCTATCTCATTGCTGAGACTTGCCAATTTCAGCGCTCCAGAAGAATTGGCCGCAGTCAGGGAGATCCGTATGTTAACAACGCACATGGGAGAAGTGGGACTATTGTTCATGGAATGCAGACTCATCCCAGCCAGCATTCGCTATTCGGCAGAGAACGAATTGGCCTGGTGTACCATGAACAGGGGTATTTGGCCTTCTTTGGCGGATGTACTCATCGATGAAGAAAGGTCCGAGCTTTTCGAGGTCCACATTGACGACACGGAGAAAGAATGTTACTGCGATCAGAATGTGGTTGATGTTCAACTGCTTGTGCTCCTGCGATATGATGGTTCCGATGAGGACCCAGTCGGAATGTTGGCGGGGATCTGCATAGTAAACTTCATCAATACACCAGACGTCTGCAGCTTCAAGAGAGTTGGGTCTTTCAGTCTCTTCAAGAAGGGGCCAAATAAGGGGTCGGTACTGTCCGCATACGAACAAGCGGCGGGTCGAAACATTTTGCTTGTGTGACATTTCTTCGCGCGGAGAGCGTCCGAGTAGAAGGAGGCATCAGTATCAAAAAACACGGAAGAGATACTAGGGTCTACACTCGACACCCAGATCAAGGAGAGACGTCGCCAATGCTCGTAAAATCTGGTCAGGAAAGCCAGCGCACCTACAGTCCCACTCAGCTAGTTGCGCCGGATGAGCTGCCAGCACTGCCGAGCGAGGTTCTATCGGATGAGATGTCGGCTGTAGCACGCACGCCGCCGCGACAATGAGGGGATTCATAAGATCTGCATTGGTTGTGGAGGTCTTTGTCGTACGTTCTTATGCGAGGTCCACGTAAAGCGGTTGTCTAAGAAGATCAGGGATTCTGCGGAGGTGTAAACCTGTATGAGAAGCCCACGCATGAGGACCGCCGTGCCGGTACTGCGTATGCAATTGACTGACATTGGCGCGGGGTTGTTGGGGACGTGGATATAGCCAGGAAGGAGCATTCGGGTTGTTCGGGACGGACTTTCTCTGCCGGCGACGGGCATATAACGATGGCCGCTCACATTGGAAGGCGCGGAACCGCAATCTCTTATCGTGTAAGTAAGCATGACCAATACTCATCCAACTCTTTTGTGCAAACTCGTAGAAGAGAATTCAGACGGACGGTATTCTGACTCGTGAGGATGGATTTTGACAATTCGCATGACGAAAGCGGATCCACCTGCAGGACTGCGCGGTGCGCTCCGCGATGCATGAACGTGTGGGATTCGTCGCGGATTGGCTGAGATGCATTAGCGAGGGCAGCGACAACGGCGATGATCACATGTCGGAGACGGTTGACGCCATATCGCGTCGTTGAGGACTGAAATCAAGCGACGGGTGAATTGGAGATGATGCAGGTTGCAGATGCGGGGAGGACGGATGCTGGATTGGGAATTGGGCAGCATGGAAGGGGAAAGGGCGAGTGGCTAGCGGCCGGTGACGTCCCCCGAGCTCAGGTCTCGATTCACTTGGTGGTGAAGGAAATTTTAGCAGAGGCGCGCCCCATGCTTCCGACAAGCCGCGCAATCCCTGCACCCGACGGCCTTTCACCATCATGTCTGATCTCCGGCGACGACGCCAATTTCACTCAAAGGCGCACCTTTGTCGCGTCACGTCGACATTGTTTGAGGCATTGTCGAACCCGCCTCCAGCGCCGCCTAGCTCCCGGTAGCAGTCCTCCACTTCCAAGACTGGATCCCGCCTGGACTTCTCCACTTAAACTTCCGCGGGTCTGGCGATGCGTCGCTGAGTTTTGAACGTTAGACGATACCTAGATATTCCTAATCAGGCGCCATGCCGTCCCGTCTGTTCTCGCGCGACTCGCCCGCAGCAGAGCAGCAGCTTCCCTTCACCAGCGACGCCGTCAACGAAGCCGACTTCGCCCACGATGCCTCGCACGCCGAGCAGGGCAGCCAGTCCCTCCCACGCCGGATAAGAGGGAATTCAATCGCTGGGGGCCCTCTCTCGGGTTCCTACACGCGCAACCCCATTCGCTCCTTCGCGCATCAAACCTCCCACGGGTTTGCCGGTACCTACCCCAAGCCTCATCTATGGGCAGCCACTGACTGCCGCGTAGATACCCCACAGTACTCGTCCCAAGGCGTGCGGGAGAGAAGCTCCCAATTGGCCTCGTATGCCCTCGAAGCCGAAGACTACCAGGACCGACCCCAGCGCCACAGCTTCGCTGACCCCGACACTTTCTCTGGGAGACATGCGGGCATACTATCCGATAACGACGAGGGGCGCGCCTCAATAGACACGGGTCGCTGGACCGACACCATTGAGGAGGACAGCGAAGCCGAGACGCCCGATACCGTCATCGGGCCACAACAGGCTGACAAGGGCTTCTTCAGCCCCAAGCTGCCGGGAGCGACGTCACAGAGCGCGAAGAAGACACCGGGTAGCTCACACGTGCCGGGTGTAGTTGTCGAGGATACCGAGCGCACGCCTCTGCTGCCTCAGACCAGACTATCCCGCCCGGACCCGCAACAAAAGCAGAAGCCTTCCGAGAGCCACTCGTGGACACCACATTCCAAATCGCGCCTGCCTCAACGCGTCAAACAAACATTCGCTGCTGGACGGGGACACCTACTGGACGTGAGTGCGTCTCTGACCAACCCCAAGAACTATACCAAGGATGCTCTCATCTCGAGCGCTCTCGGTACTGTTCAGATCACATCAGCCGTGTTCCTCGGATTGCTTCTTAACCTTCTGGATGCGCTGTCCTATGGCTACATTCTGTTCCCACTTGGTGCGCCCATCTTTAGCAACACTGGCCCTGACGGTATCTCCATCTTCTTCGTGAGCTGCATTGTTTCCCAGCTCTGCTATTCCCTGGGACTTTCCGTGTTCAAAGGAGGTGTTGGATCTGAGATGATCGAGGTCGTGCCCTTCTTCCACAAAATGGCCTACTCCATCATGAACCAGATGGAAGGCAAGCCACCGGAGGCTATCATAGCCACTACCATCGTTTCCTACTGTTTGAGTTCCATTCTGACCGGTCTCATCTTCCTTGCCCTGGGAGCTTTCAAGCTGGGCAACCTTGTCAGCTTCTTCCCAAGACACATCCTGATCGGCTGCATCGGAGGTGTGGGTTTCTTCCTGGTTGTCACTGGAATCGAGGTCTCCGCACGCCTTGAGGGTAACCTCAACTACGACCTTGCTACCCTGCAAAAACTCTTCTCTGGCGACACCTGGTATCTATGGACACTACCGCTTGCCCTTGCAATCACCATCATGATCCTCCGGCGTCTGTCCAAGAGTCCCTTCGTTCTGCCCGCTTTCTTCATTACCGTATTTGCTGTCTTCTACATCATTGTCAAGGGCATCATGCACAAGGACCTTGAGCCTGTGCGCAACGCAGGTTGGATCTTCGAGACGCCAGAAGCCGGTGTCAAGTTCTACAGATTCTACTCTTACTTCAAGTTCGGCAGCATAGATGGAGCGGCGCTTGTCAGCACTATCCCCACCATGTTCGCCCTTTCATTCTTTGGCATTATCCACGTTCCCATCAACGTCCCCGCTCTAGGTGCCGCTGTGCGGGAGGACAATCTTGACGTCAACCGAGAGCTCATCGCTCACGGTATCTCGAACACTCTCTCTGGTTGCTTGGGTAGTATTCAGGTAGGACAATCCTCGTAGACATCCACGATTCATCACTAACAGAGTCCTAGAACTACCTCGTCTACGCCAACAGCGTCATGTTCGTCGACAACGGCGGTAACAGCCGGACCGCAGGCATCATGCTCGCCTTTGCAACAACCGCCGTCTGGGTCGCGGGCCCCGCTATGGTCGGCTACATTCCGAT